GACAATGATATCCGGTCTTGTGTGATTTAAAGTTTATCCCGAATATTACTATTATACTATTGATTGTCATTGATCCCTAATCCTTGAGCAATGACGCAGATGAGCAGAAAATTCACAAACTAATTATAATTTTAAAGAAAATTACGTAGATAATTATGTAGAAAAAAAGAAATTTTTATTGAGCGTACAATAATTTAATTAAAAACTAACAAATCATACAAATTCATTATTTAATAAGTTCTGTAAGATTTTTTCCCTTATTGAATTATTTTCCATACACAATGCTCACAAAGATTAAAAAAAAGATTGTAATGGTATCTCCTGTAACAGCTCTATTGTAAAATGAGCATATATATTATAGGAGCGCAGCCCCCCGCTAGTCGTTCGAGATTGTCGCTCATTGTTTGTTAAAAAGTTATTGATGAAAGAAGTTCGAAAAATATATTACAATTTTTTGATACTGTATACCGTTAACGAGCAATATCGAACAACTAGCGGGGGGCTGCGCCCCCCGCACCTCCCCTCAAAACTAACCTAACCCAACCTATCGTTACATTAAGTGTCAGTCATTCTTTATTAAAGTGTTTAATTTTTGTATTATTGTGACGATAGGTTGGGTTAGGTTAGTTTTAAGGGAGTGTGCGGGGGACGTAGCCTCCCGCTAGTTGTTCGATATCGCACTTATCTTTCGATATTGCTCGTTAACGGGACACAGTATCGAAAAATTGTAATATATTTTTCGGACTTCTTTCATCAATAATTTTTTAACAAACAATGAGCGACGGCTAAAATCTTCAGAAGGTCACTCAGAAGGGTGACCTCTATGACATATGTCAAGATCAGGCTGATCTGAGGTGGCGCCCTTTTTCTACACCTTTACCAAAGCAACTTTGAGAGAATTTTTAATAAACTTATTTTACCTTACAATCACCTTCATTTCTTCTTGGCATTCAAACCATCAAGATGCGTAAAATCTTAGTGATGATAACCGTCTAAGTAAGATACAACTTTCACCGAGATCAAAATAATCAAACATTATCGCAACAAAAAGATAACAATGAAACAACAAGCATTTTTAAAATATTGCATATTTGGGAAAACATGCGTGATGTTTGCATGTATCTAAGTTCTGCTTCGATGACATCTCTTCTGATTTTAAGAAAGACTTAAACATAAAGGATCAGTCGATATAAACGAATGAATACTTTCATTGAATAAGTAGCTCGCTTATTTTCGAATAGCAAATTACCTGTTCACAAAACCTGCTTTAATGTATGGCGGTTAAATGCCATTTGTTAGCTTTGTTTCGTCAGGGTAGAGAATATGGTAAATAAGAATAGAGTAATGCTTTATCGTCAGGAATATGTATAAAGTTGTATTAGGTTGCCGTATGCCCGAGTGTAATACAAGGAAAGAACAATCTCTTAAATCGGCGTAGCGGCACGTAACTCTAACTCGAAGCTCTCTGCGACACACACACACTCCTTCTCCTCGGCGAGTCTCTTCGACACACACTCTATTCAGATGGCGCACGCTTTTCTCTCTCACGCCTGCGCGAACATCGAACACGCATCGATTGGCGGGCGACGCTGCCTCGACTTAACCAAACGCGCCTAATTCAATTCAAATATTTCACACATTAGTTTCCTTATCGTCGTACATCACTATCGATTATTATCTAAAAGGGTTTACAAAGATGTACGCAGATGGTAGGATTGAATTCTTTCCGTACTGAGCACGCGCAGAATCACTGTGTAACTTAATCGTGAAGAGCGTCTCAGTCAGACGACAAATTTCGTCCCGCGAACTTCAATGAGTCTCAACAAAGGTAGAAACCGTTTCATAAAATAAAAAAAATTAAAAAGTTTCCAGCGCAGTTTTTTTTTAAATTGCATAATCTTATTGTGAAATAATTATGTAACGCAATAGAGTACACGAAACAAACGATTGCGTGTGAACACAAGTGTCGAAATGAAAAATTTTTGTCCCGGATTATCAGTGAAAATTAATCATTACAAATAACAATTACAATTCGATCAATGATAAACGTAACAGCAACACAAATTAAAAAAAAAAGATAACAAATGGGTCGCTTCGAAATGTGGCGTGTTAATCTTTGCATCAAGGAAAATATGTGTCATGTGTTTAGTACATGCTTCATATTTTATTAATCATAAAATTTTGATGCTTTATTTTATACCTTATATTACATAATTTTGTATTGAGTTACGCAATAATAACGGTGGCATGTCCAATTATTACGTACTGTTTGCTTAAATGAATATCGCAGAATATGATCATATATTTCTATTAATCATAAAAATTTATTTTTAATAATTAATAAAATTAATTAATTAATTAATTAATTTATCAAAGGTTATACGCCCAGCAAAAAAAGCATTATCAAATGAATACATTGGAAATTATTTAAAGTATTACTTTTTAAAAGAACACATAGAATCCTGTTACTTTTATATAGTCAGTGATAGTGACGATTAGATAAAAGAAGTAATATTTGCCGTTTGTCCTTTATTGCAGAAGTTCATAAAAAACATGCTATATCCTGAGCAGTCTATAGATCCGTCGCGTGTAACTTCGTATTTCCACGACAGGATGCAAAAGTTGGGATAAAAGTTTATTTTAGTTCCGTGTATTAGCAAAAAATATTCGCTTTCGACGTACAAATTGATTACAGTGTTTTTGCGCGCTAAAGTTCGAATATCGCGAAGTATAAACGACAAAAAAGAGTGTACTTGGAACGCAAAAACACTCTAACCAATCTATATCTATATCTATCTCGCTGAGAACGAATATTTTTTTGCCAACATACGGAACTAAAATAAACTTCCATATCAGCTCTTGCAAAATATCGTGAAAGTGTAAAGTTCTATGCGACGGATCCATAAACTACTACTGATATAGCATGATTTCTATGTACTTCTGCAATAAAATACTAAGAGCTTCCCTTTAAACGGGAAGCGTTTAATAAATAATACATTAAGCAACATGTTTAATATATTCATTTGACAAATGTGTCATATTGGAGTAATTAGTGAAAAAAAATTTTTATGATTATTATATGTATCATGTTTTGTTCTGACTGCTTTCGATAGAGACTAAAGCAGGAACTGTAACTCCTGCTTTATAAATAAAAAGATAAATAAACAGTAATCTTTGTTTTGAGGATTAACTTAAAAAAATGTTATATTTACAATTCTTAACCGTGTGTCTGATTAAAGAATATAAGTGCGTAAATAGGAATAATCAGTGGAAAAGTTAATTTGAGTTGAAAAATATACATGTGAAGTGGTAATTTTATTTTGTATTTTGTGTGTTACTTATTCGATTTTAATATCGACATCATCTCACTCAAATGTAAATATAAAATAACGCAAAAAATAACATTTTTTCTGAAATTTAACTTTGTCAGATTTGAGTTACACGTTCACCTTGAGTCGCCAATGCTTACGAATTTTTGGCGTATGGCCTGACCCACATATTCCCCTGAATGAATTCCGTCGGCCGAATTTAAGGTACATGCTTGCTATGTGCCTTCTAATCTTTTACGTGTTTATACCCCAAATTACAAATATATTTCGTATTCGGGGTAACATGATGTTAATGGTGGAATGCATTGCCTCAGTGAACTACAGCTCGCTGGCATTCTACAAATTGATTGTTACCCGGTATCACGGTGAAAGTAAGTGATCACGCTTTTTATTATAATAACATGATATAAATTAGTTACTATTTGCTTTTCGCCGAGAATTATTAATGTCAAGAGCCGTGTCTCTATGAAACATATCATATAATAGAATAATCACTATTGCGTGGGGCACTTGTTTTGCATGTAAATGCAATATATTTTAATAGTTTTTAAATTTTTTTTTTAAATATGGGATATATTTATACATGTATGTATATAATTTTATATATATAAATATACAGGGTGTTCAACGTAATAGTGCACATAATTTTTTAGGCCGGTAGTGTAAAGAAAAGTTTGTTAGGTGAATATTTATCTATCTCATGCATGCTAAAATATGCAATAAAAAAATTTTTGGAAAAAACATTTTTTTACAGAAAGTCAAGGTTACCTTGAATTTTTTAAGTGACACCATGCTATTTTTTTCATAATATTGTAGAAAATAAAGACGAATTCAAGTCACAATAAGAAATGTCGTTTTTATTCAGATTTAACATGAAATTTACAGTATTATTTTAAATAACACTTATAAGCTCCATCTGAAATACTTATAAGCTGACTATCTGAAATCTCAATATAAACACTGAAAGTTATCTAGCTATCAATTTTCGTATAATAAATTAATAACATTCATCATTATGAGTGGGTACCAGTATTTTCCGAGCCTTCTTCCCAAGTGAATATTAATTGTTGTTCAATAGCAGCAATGAATAATTATTCTAATTCGGAAAAAGTTGATATGTTATTGATATTTGGTGAATGTAGAAGAAATTCTGGTGAAGCTGAATAAAAGCGACATTTCTTATAGTGCATTGAATTCGTCTTGAAGTCCTCTACAATATTGTAGAAAAAATAGCATAGTGCCATTTAAAAAATTCAAAGTGATCTTGACTTTTTTATGAAAAAAATGTTTTTCCAAAATTTTTTATTGCATGTCGTAGCACGCATGAGATAGATGAAGGTTTACCTTATAAATTTTTCTTTACACTATCGAAAGTGTTTAAAAAATTATGCGGACCGTTACGTTGAACACCCTGTATATATATAGTTTGGAAATTGACATTTTTATTAAGATATGTCTGATTTGAAAGCTCTGCGAACCCTGATGACATCGATCAAGACTGACTGGGTAACTTCCAGGAGAAAATGGGAACAAAACACAATGTTGAAAGTTGCAAGAACTGGAAGAAGCTTATGTTTTAGATGTTACGTGAGTCTTGCATGCACGACCGTGGTCTTCACAATTTTCAATATTTTAAAACTCTATCGAAATGTACATCACTCTCAACGAAATCTGGTCTATCAGTTTAACTATCCATATGGCATTCAGAAGACTCCAGTATATGTAATTACTTATTTTACTCAAATGTCGGCTGCTTTGTATGGGGCTGCAATCAACTCCACCGTCGACACCTTTATCGCACTACTTTTGCTGCACATTTGCGCGCAGCTGATTAATCTGCGTATAACACTTAACGAATGGGTCGAGAATCTAACTGAGAAATCTATACTTTCCACCGATTTTAAGAAAGGCCTTAGTGCGATCGTGCTACGTCACGAGGATCTTATCAGGTATATTAGAGAAATCTTGCAGATATATTAGAGAAGTCTTGATTGAATATTGTAAAAGATTGAATCATATGGATTTTTAAGGAACGCTAAGACAATCGATGATTGCTACAGTACAGTTTTACTTATGCACATCGTGATTGCTACTTTTCAGCTGTGCTTTGAAAGTTTTCAGGTTTACACGGTAAGTAGATCTGTACGTCCTCCCTTTTATTTTTATATATAACTAATAATAATACATTATTAAGACTACATGCGATAAGAACGCAGTAGATTGCACTATAGCTTACAAGAATGTTTACACTTAAGTGTATCTATCGAAATGAAAAATACGATATTTTCAGATAATAACGGACAAGAATGGGAGTGTCTCCCTCCTTAAAATGTTCTTTGTCGCGCTTTATGCCAATCTATTGTTACTACATTTATATATGTATTGCTACTCAGCTGAGAAACTTATAACAGAGGTAAAGAATGACGAATTGTGCTCGATCCATCATTTATGCGACACAGAACATGTTATACTTTCAGAGTACCGGCATAGCATACAGTGTGTACGAATGCAAATGGTACGATCTACCAACGAAATACGCAAAAGATTTAATGTTAATCGTCTATCGATCTATGATTCCACTCAGATTGACAGCTGGGAAATTCAATACGTTTTCGATTGAGTTGTTTGGATCGGTAAGATATCTGCGAAAAGAATACACAATTTCCTATTCAATTTTTATACAAAGATTCCTATTTTATTATATTATAAAATAGATAATATTTATAATTATAATATTTATAATTATATAGTTGATATGTAATATATACACGTGGAAAATAGAAGTTGATTAATTTGCCAGTTGATTAATTTGCTAGTTTACAATTGTCAATATCTTGTTTATATAATTAAACTAACTACTCTGTTATAATTATTTATATTTATTATATATAAAAAGAAACTGATTTTCACTTGTGATCATTTTATGTTATTTAGCTGGTGAAAACATCGATGGGATATTTATCAATGTTATTGACGATAAAAGATTAGATGGAAATAATGTTAGAAGTAATTTTATACTGATACTCCATAGATGATTGATCACTAGTCGTTCGAGATTAAATAAATAAATTTATTTATATGCACAGTATGCAATATAGTTTCTATAGAAATATACACATTTTTGCGCAATAGCATAAATTATTTATTAGTATAATAAAGGAAGCTTTATATTGTACCTTTTAATTGTTTGGTTAATTTGTCCAATAACATTGCCAAAAGAGTAAGGGAAACAATTAAAAAACATACCATTTGAGCATGATAACCAAATAATATTTATTTTATGTCTGTGTATATAAGTGTGTGCGAACTCAAATGTTAAGTTCAAGATGGTGCTGTAAGTCACGATAATTAGCGGTTGAGTAATATTTTTATATCCATATAAATCTACCTCTTTCAAAATTATGATAAAAAAATAGTGCCAAGTTCACGCGCTTCCCCATATGAATAAGATTACACGAAATCAAAAGCTCCTATAAAACTATTTTATAAAATAATATGTCTAAAAATATTAAAACAAAATATTGTTATTTAAATTTTTATTTTCTATAAAAAAATGATATTTAGAGAGATCTCAGAATGATCTCAGAGAGATGGACTAAATGAAAATAATAATTATATATCAAATATTATTCTGTCAGATAAATAAAGTGCAACACTTTTCCTCGATAAGTTTCATAGCATCTTGTTCAATAAAACAGAGTTTGACATGCATTGCATTTTTCGGGAAGTGCGGGAAGTATATGAAAAAAGTGCGGATGTAATGCAGAAAGTGTACGGAAGTAAGATGGAATGAAAGCAAAAAACATGCGGGAATTCCGAAAAAAATGCGGGAAATATGCGATAATAATGCGGATTGATAGCGGAACAGCATAGAAATAATGCAAAATACTTGTGGAAAGTGTAAAGAAATATTATGGAAATAATGTAGCAAGAATCCAAAAAAATACGCGGAGAAGTGCGTATGTATTGCAAGTACGTATGTATTGCAGAATTTCATGTTGTACGTATATGCACGCGGTTCATGCTTCACTAAACCATCACGTGGCGTCATTTAATAGAGGGAAGTTAATTTAGACACTAGAACATTTCTTAATTGTAAAACTTGGGGTTTTTGTATTTAAAGTTGGAATAACTTTTACAAGACGCGAATAATAATAAAAATAGTTTTATTCAGCGGTTCTAAAGATCATTCCGAGGAGTATTCCAGTCATTATGTCATTCCTAAAAATAACGGATAGAATGCAGACCAATAAGAAATCATAATGTTCGAACTCATGGACCTAAGAATCTATAGACGGAGTATAAAGTGAGGTCATAGGCAAGGAGTTTGTGAAATTTACAAGAACGAAATCGTTCTCTTTTTTTCGCTTGTTGTCTCTTTCTATAAGTGGACACCGTCACCTGCGTAAATTTTGTTAAGTTTTCCTATACACACATGCCGTTTTGTATAATTTTGGATTGCTAATACTGCTCGTACTAATCCGAAAGAAAAATGTAATGCACAAATCGACCTGGAAAAAACAAGAATAGACTGAGCGTGTCTTTGTTTGGCAGTGAAGATTATGGCACGTATTAGTGAATTTTTCGGAATTAATTCCGATCGGAAACATTTAGTTATTTCCTAGACTTCTATTGTCTTTTCTAGAGGAAATAGAATTATTCCGATCGGAATTGGTTCCAACAAGTTTCATAATACGTAGAAAAAATACGCTCAGGTAAACAAGATAGAAAGTGTGTAGTTTTCTCTTTTTATTCACGCACGCGTAGTTAGATACAAACAATACATGATATACATGTATGTTAACTCTCCGTTAGTCGCAATATTTTAATCTTAAAAATAAATTTTCTTTTATTAACTCTTAGCTCAAATAGGTCAGGTACCAAAGTATATAAATAGTGAGGAACAAATTGACAAATAATAGATAGAACTGAATTAGGAATAAATAGATTAGAATAAATAAGATATTAATAATATGATACCTGTGTATCTCTATTGGATATTGCGACTAACGGAGGGTTGTGGGTATTTTAGATTTTCTTCCGCAGTGCATATGCAGCATTTTGTAACTATTTTATATTATTTTATAGTATTTTAATATATTTTAATATATTAATTCTCTTCTACAGATTATGATCATAACTTTATTTAACCACGTTCTACTATCTGTACACTTTTTCTCACTCTGACTCTCCACTCTTTTATCGTCCAAGAGAGAAAGATACACGGCACTTATTATCTTTTTCTACCTGGTCTTCAGATTTCACGCTTCACGCTGTTTATTCTTACTATGTCTGTAGTTGAACTAAAATCCCGTCGCGTCCCGTTCCCTTCTCTGTGCGTTTATTTGACGCAAAACGCTACTACATCTCTTGATAATAAAAATATGCCCGTCTTTACTCTTCTTTGCTTCAGTAATATTTCTTTTAATTTTGTGCAATAGCCAGAAATGCGGAATAATAGTTGATTTTAATGATTGAGTACCTTCATCGAGTGAGCATTTTTCTTATATTCGAAGAGGAAACACTGCGTTCGTAATAAATGGTTTAACGTATGACGATTGCATGTGCTATGTATTTCGTTATCGATTATCATCCGAAAGAGTCTATAAAGCTACTCACAGATGGTAACTATTGAATCTTCACTGTACTGAGCAAGCGCAAAATCACGGCACCTTAGTACGATCGCGAGGAGCGACTCAGTCAAACAATAATTTCCGTTACGCAAACTTCAATGAGTGTTAAGGAAGGTAGAACAAGTTTCTTTATAATAAAAGAGTAAGAAAGTTACATTGTGTCCTGTTAAAATTGTACATCGTGAAATATTTATTTAATGCAAGGCAGTTTATGTGATAACATGGAGTGTGCAAATTTTTTTCTTAACTTAAATATCGGCTAATTGTTATAAATTATTTTCGTATGATGTCAAACGTAATAGTAAATAAAAAGAAATTATTGAATATTTCACTCTCGACGTACTATACTTCGAATCGGAAAATGTGTTTTATTTTCAGTATTCTTATAATATATTTTGTTATACAAAACAAAATTTAAAATTTGTATAACTTACTTTTCTTATTTACACACTTAAAAAGTATCAGAATGGAACATTCTCAGACGATTATATTTTGTGTAATTGTTTAATTTTATTTGTTAAACATCTCACACTTTTTTAAAGAGAAATTTTATGAAATTTTAATTGATAATTGATAATTGTGTTATAAAGAAAATATTTATAATTTTATCGTTTCTCTCGTAAGAACATCTCGCAAAAATTATGTTTTATTATAACCAGTCTGTAGATCTGTCATAGAACTTTATAGTTCCATGAAAGTTTGTGAAAGTTGGCTTCGCAGTTTATTTTAGCTTTATACGATAGCAAAAAATATTCGCTGCAGAGACAGAGATGTACTAAAGTGTTTTTATGTGGCAAAGTTCGACATGTTGTAAAAAGCAAGCGTTTGAAATATTACCGTGAACGAATTGATTTTCGTTTCCGTCTACAGAAACTGAGAATTGTATTGCTCAGGAAGAGGGAATAACCTAAACAATAACCCTTTTTCCGAAATTAATTTAAAAAATTTTACATAATAATAACGAAAATATATATGCGCGAATAGAAGTAACAAAATTAGTAAAATACTTTAGACTTTAAAATGTTTCACCTCTTATTTCAAGATAATGATATTACGTTTAAACTCTTATTCTGTTATTCACCGGCAAAAATATTTACTTACATGAGTATAACCATAAGTTAATATAATAAGATATGACGACTTTTTTATGCAATTTAATTTTTTTAGACTTGTATTTCACGTTTGCTTTGAGTCGCCAATGTCTGCGCTTACTAGGTGTATGGCCTGATCCTTACATCTCTTTAAGAGATTTTCATCGACCCAGGTTAAGATTCATGATTGTAGTGTGTATTTTAAGCATTTATGTGTTTGTACCGCAAATGTTGAATGTGATACATTGTTGGGGTAACGTGGCTTTAATGGTGAAACATGTCGCCTCCGCTAATTTCAGCTTGATGACATTGTGCAAGCTGATTGTCACTTGGTATCACGGTGAAAGTAAGTGATAATTCTTTCCGAGATAGTAACAATAAATTTACAATATATTAACAATACAGTAACAATTAATTAATTAAGCGATATTAATTATTTAAGTACACTGAAATTTTAATCTGTTTTAATCTGCATATAATATAACATTGACTTATCATCCGAAATAATTTTACCAACTTACAGCAACAATTGTTCAATAATTTTTTAAACAAGTTTGGTACATTTTGACAAATAATATTTGTATCAGTAATCGGTCAACCAAAACTCTTCGTTTCATTTTTTAGATAAATTTAACTTTGTTGTATTCAGTGGATATGTATTATTTTATATTACATTTTATATTATATATTATATTATATTATATTATATTATATATATTATATATTTATATTATTTATATTATATTATATGTTATATTATATTTTATATTACTTTTATATTACATTTTATATTATTTTATATTATTTGTCAACTAAAACAATCACCGTTATTGTTTATGATATCTAGTCAACATATGATACATACATATTATTTAACATTGTTGTCTATTGTACATGTGTGTTCAATAAAATGAATTTAAATCGAATGATGCTATAGGATCAAAGATTCTATTTTATTTTACATTATATTATTTTATTTATATTTATTTATTTTATTATTTACATATATATTTTACTATTTATATATATTATTTATTTATTTTTATATTATTTTATTTTATTTATATTATTTAAAAAATCTTTAGTTTTATACAATATGCTATCAATTTTTATAGGTACTTTATATTTCTTACGAAATTTATTTATTAAAAATATAGTTTATTTAAATTATATATTTATATATGTTGAATTTTTATTATAAGCGGTTAAGTAGTCATTGAAATAGTGTTAGCATCCGAAAAGTCACGAAACGCCTTTGTAGATAATATATTCATGTTACCACATTATCTAATCAATTCCAAAATTTTATAACTTGCTCAATACATCATTTTTTATCTGGAAGCACTTCGCACACTAATAACTTCAGTCGTGGCCGACTGGACAATTTCAAAGGAATCTTGGGAACGAAACACAATGCTGAAGATCGCGCAGCGTGGAAGAAACATGTCTCTCAAATGTTATATGTGTTCCATATTCGGAATCGCACTCTACTTATTTGGCAACCTGTTGAAGTTACATCGAAATTTGTATCAGCCTGTCGGTCAACGAAAGCTTGTTTATCACTTTGATTATCCCTATAACAGCCAAAAAAGTCCAAACTATGAAATTACCTACTTTATTCAGCTGTTAGGCGGCATGTATACGGCCCTTGTCAATGCTACTGTTGACAGCTTCGTCCTGATGCTCTTATTGCACATATCCGCGCAGCTAATAAATCTGCGTGTGACGCTTAACAAACAGGTCAAGAAACTAACAGACAAATCTATATCCTCCGCAATATTTAAGAAGGACTTGGTTGCAATCATCGTACAGCACGAAAATCTTATCAGGTACATGAGCGAAATTTTTGCATGTGCTTTAATTCTGTATAAGATTTAATCATACAAATTTTAAAGGAGCGCTGAAACTATTGATGACTGCTACAGCACAGTATTATTAGTGTATATGATAGCCATCACTTTTCAGCTGTGCTTCGAGAGTTTTCAGCTTTATGCAGTAAGTATACAGAAAAAAAATATGATACATATAATCAGAAATATTTGGTTTTGAGCAGCATATTTATATTACTTTATTTATCTTCCACATTCAGACATATCATCCCAGCGAACACAGAATATAACTATTATATAATATAAAAGTTACACGTAATTTAATGGATGTTATACGTTATTAGTGTTAAAGTTACATAATTTTCTTTTATAATTGCAATTTAACTGTGTTTTAGAACTATTATAATACTGTGTTATTTATAAGTTATAATTATATAACACCAACATAACTAAAATATAACAGGTTATATAACAAGTGTTTATTTGCATTACATCTATGTTATATAGCATTCTTATCTAGATATCGGATCATTCACTAGATGGCTTCCGTTTTTTCGTGTCTTTCTCGTATGTAAAATATGATGTATTAATATATATAAAATCAATAATCACAAAATGGCACAACTTATATTATGGAGTCCACTTTTATAGTGAAGTGGTACACTTTTTGATTAGTGGAAATTATTCTTGCAGTAGTAATTCTTCCATTTAAATATAGAAAGATGGAAATGAATAAATGAAAATAGTTGTAATAGTATAAAATGCCTGAAGACATGCTGAGACATTAGACGTCTAGAATGACTCTAGGATGATTCTGAAATATCTTTATACACATAACTATTCAATAACAAAAGAAATAATAGAAGTTATATGCATATATTTTGCATCCAGTTGTATAGTACATAATTAGTCTTTCCATATTTTATTATTAAATCTATTTGACACAACTAGATTTACATAAAATAAATATTATTTTTATATTATTATTTATATTATTATTATTTATATATAAAACAATATTATTTTTTCCATGTAAATAATATATTTAAGATAAGTTGTCGATAACTGACGATAATCTTCATATATTTTTAGTGATATATTGTTAAGAGCACGCGACAAGATTATATTGCATTATATTTCTATAAAATTATTTTAAGTTATTATAATATATATAAAATGCATATAATAATAATAATAATAATAATAATAATGTAACATATGCATTCACCAAAATCGGAAATCGGAATTGTATTATTTTCAGATTATGACAAGCAAAAGTGCGAATATTTCCGTTATCGAAATAGGTTTCCTTACGTTTTATGTCGCAGTTGTGATGATACACTTATACTTTTATTGTTACTCTGCTGAAAGACTGATGACGGAGGTAAATAACAAATTATATTCCTTAATAACGACTTATACAACGTTGGAATCTCGTTTTTAGAGTACTAGTATGGCACATGGCGTGTACGAATGCAAATGGTATGATTTGCCGCCAAAAGATGCGAAAGACTTGATGTTTATAGTGTATCGATCTAGGATTCCACTTAGATTGACAGCTGGAAAATTCGGTACTTTTTCGCTAGAGATGTTTGGAACGGTAAATTTTTTGCTAAAGGATTGCATAATTTTCTATGTATAATTGTATAATGAATGTCTTCTTTACATAATAACCGCACACAGAAAAATGCATACTGCATTCAAATAAATTATTCCAAGTATTTTTTAAGTTTATATATCCGAAAATTTATCATATTTATTCTAAGCATCAAATATATTAATACTACATCCTAAATTCCAATGAGTTTTAGCATTTTAATAAAAAATATTAAAATAAAAATACGATTTGTTTACTACATCGAGCCAAACAAACTTTTTCTTGGATAGAATGTATATTTTATAATTAAAATAGAATTTTATAATTTTATAATTGTTATTATTGGAAAAACTTTATTATTATTTATTATTGGATAAATATTTTTCTTTTTACTATATAGGCAACAATAAGTTTTTTTAAATTTAGAATAAATATAATAATAAATATACTCTAAGAGAATATATTCTATGACCGGAATTCATAGTTAGATTTTATATTTAAAACCATCTGAAGTTCCCCTTCAAATACTTCGTAGCCAATGAAATGATCTGTACCTCATCTGAGCATGAACTTAAGATGGTTTTAAATATAAAACCTAACTATGAATACCGGCCTAGAAGTATTATCAAGAAAATATTCTTTGTTGGAAATATTCATTAACTAAATTAAGGAAAATAAACTGAGTAATCGTTTCTCTTATCGGTAGAATGATACATTTTTCTGAGTGCTTTGAGTGTACATTTTTATTGTTCTAGGATGTATATTTTGGATGTTGTTTGTCTATCATTACTGCACATAAAAATAGGAACAGAAATAAGTTTATTCTTTTTCCTATTGTAGACGGTGAAGACGTCAATGGGATATTTGTCTGTGTTATTAACAATGAGTAATTAGAGGAAACAGTGTTGGAAATGACAACATATTATTTCGACATAACTGATCGCCACTTCTTCTACTATAAATGACTGAACTTTTTTATATGCACTATATGTTAGATCATTTGTGTTAGACAAATACTTTTGTGTATAATATAAATGGTTTATCTCTAAAGGGACAATCTCTAAGACTATTTAATTGTTTTTTTCTTTCGCTTCATCTTTTAGCATATTAGTTAAGGACTTTAAGGAATGTAAATCATAAAGCGCTCAAGGAGTGTATTTTCAATGACACATTAAGGATCCTACTCATAAATTCACAGAATGCGTTAGTGTCGGCAAATGATGCTAGTCAGATAGATAGATACAAGCAAGTGCGGATGAATTCAAGACGCTCAAGGAGGACTAATGAATCATCAAGAAATGGTCTATTGCTTTCTTTCGCAACATATCTGTATATCAGCGAATATCGAGAGGAGTGGCAACTGAAAAAACACTTGAAAGGCTGCTAAACAAGCAAGACGTTGCGCCGCGACGATTACGCGAAAATGCGACGATGGTCACATGATAGCGACAAAAAGGAAATGAATATGATTCCTGCAAAGATTCAACCTGCTGAAAAATCAATGTTGATAAGTAAGTTATCTATCTGACAGCATTTAAAAAAATTTTTTTAAAGTTAGGGATTTTTTGCTCAGTTTGACGTGCTCTAATTACACATTGGCGTAAGTTGCGTCACACACTCTGTGAGTACGTGTATATGTGTGTGTGTGTGTGTGTGACATCTTTATTAGTTCGCTATAGCTTGTTACAAAATAACTTTAGCACATAGACTTTGTGGAAGAATACGCAGAAAAATAAATACGGAGAAAAATAATTTTGCTCTTTCAGCAAAATCGTCGTTGCTACTGCATATTTGTAATGACATAAAAAAATGTTAGTTGACGTATCTACAAATTTACGATGTATTTTATAAATTCGTTATCAGAGCAAAAGTAGTTTCGTTGTTAGGGTAGAAAAAATTTGTTGAGCATTTGTCCTAAGAATCACGTTAATTTGCTATTGCTGCAAAATAATGTATCCTTAGCAAATTTATTTGCTATCGGAACAAAACTGCAACTGCTTATATAAATCATGGCTCTTATAACAAAATAATTTGTAGATTCAGCAAATTATATCCAACAAAT